AGGATTCTTTGAGAGTTACAGGGAAGAGTATTACAAAAGTGAAAATCTGTCAGTGTTAGGTTCAAGCTAGGGACATAACATCAGCAGCTTGTGCTGCCTGTGTAGTTCTTTTACTCTCTCCATTTAGCCTGAGAACATTTTAAGGAACATCAAATTCCCAGCTGTTCTCATTTATCCCCACCTTCCATACTAAGCCTGCTCAGGAGTTAGTGTAAAGGCCTTATTCTGCAGTGTAGAAAATACACTCTTAGGGAATTGCTCCTTCCTCACCTCTACATGTCATGTGTGCAGAATTTAGATGTTACCACAGCCTTGATCATCTGATTTACAAGTTTCCCTGGGAGAAGTGGATGCATGCTACAAGGCAGCCAGGGCAGGCAGACAAGGAGCCCAGGTCCACTGGGCTTCCCTGGTCAGCAGAAGCAAGAAGCCAGGGCTCCAGGGTACCATGCAGAGCTCCACAGTACTGGGCTTTGCAAGTCCCCAGACAAGTATTTGCTCCGTTGCATTGCAGTGATGTTGGAAAGATTACTTAATGGGAAGGAATTATTCTAGGTTTTCAGTTTGTTTAGCTAACATCAGAACTGAGACTTAAGAGGGAAAGCCTATAAGACAGGAGCTAAGTCAGAAATAAAGCAATTCCCACCTTCTGGGTTTTACATGTGCTGCCAGCAGAGGTTTGGCTGCAGCATTTCAGGGCGTATCAAGGCTGTCTGAACTCTGGGTACCTCACAGCAATGGGGAGGGTGGGCTATGCTAATGGAATAAGTGATCATGCTTTGTCTACTTGAATAAAGTAGATGAAAATATGCACATACTCTTTCTTAAGCAGTTTCACTATTCTCACCTAGTACTATTGTTTTTTTCTGCCTTAGCCTTCCCAATAAAAAAAGAGAGACTGCAGTAGGTGTCTGCACCATGTAAAGAACTCCAAGATCCACCTGTTTTTTCTAAACAAGTAATATGTTAATATGATGCCAATTTTATTTTCCTCAAAGCTTCTCATCATGACATCTATAGTATCAGTAATCCTGCCATTTTTTGCAGGAGAACAGTTTTTCAAGTAATTAACATTAGACTGACAAATGGGTTGAGGAGTATTCCTAAGTAAAACAAGATATTTATTCTAGCCTACTTTCATGAGCCTCCTTCCTTTGTGCAGAATATGTGATAGTTTTATTGTCATTTTTCAACAACTTCCTTATATTCTTAATTTTGTTACAGTGTTTCAGCAAAAGGCCACTCAAGTGCCCAATGACAATGGCAGGACCTACTGCGATGCCAGGAAGCCCGGTATGGAATTTAATTCAGCTCTTTAACTGCCTTGATGCTCTTCAGTAGAACTAGTAGAGATTTGCTGTGACTTGATTTTGACTGATTTAGCTTCTGTTTTCCCACATGTGATTTATATCCTTAATGGTATTGCAGCATTAAAAGATAAGATTAAAGAAAGAAAAATAAAAGTTACAGTTTTGTGGGAAAGATTTGTAGAGTCAGAGTTACTTTATGCTTCTCTGTTTCTCTATTGTGATTAAAACCAAGAGAAGGAAGGACAGGAGGGCTCTGCTGCACACTAATTCCTGCCATGAAAATTCAGCAGTGAGAGGAGCAACAGTTCTCTTCTGGGTACCCCAAGATTCGTGTAAAATGAATTAATGGTGGCAGTCCAGTTGTTATTTGAGTTGTAGCACATCAAAATGTTCCTACCATAAATTCCATTACTGGTACCCTAAAATAATTATTAATGTTATATACAAAATGAATGAACAGTGAGTGAAGATTTTTCCTCCCTCTTCTGTTAACAAGTAGCAGGTCAGGATTCAAGCATATAGCGCAGCACAAAATTGCCTATTTATTTCTGCAGTGAGGAACTGCACTCTCCAGTGCTACTGACATTACTTTCCATGAATTCTCAACCACTGAGGAGAAAAATACAGGACCTTCTAGATCCTTACTATGTTGGAATAGTGGTAGCATACCTCTGTCAAAATTATATATACATAAATTAAACACTTGTTTTTATGGATCTGAGGAAATGCAACTCCCTCCCAGCGTTTTGCTGATATGAAAAGTACCGTTTTACCTAAACTGGTCTGATCTCCAAATAATCTTAGCAGATGCAAGACATTAGGGTCATTACTCCATCAAAATAAAAACAAGTAGCTGAGATGCAAAAGAGTTGAGATTCATGTCTAATACATGCTAGTACTGTGTATGGTCAAAAGGAGGGAGTAGAAGAAGCCAGAGTAGCTGGTTTTATCATTTCCTTAATAAATTTCCCTTTGCACAGTCCTTCATCACTTAAAATAAAGATACTGGTGCATAACATGGCAGAAAAACTGACCCAGATCATAATCATAGTTTAAACTTTTATCCTGGCTGCATTCTCTGTGCAGTGAAGCAGGGGCTTTGTGGCAGCTTTGCAACAACCCTGTACCTGGCTGGGAGAGCCCCGTTTCACGGCTGCTCACATGTTCTGAGTCAGGTTTTTCAGCATCCTGGAGACTGGCAGTGCTGCACCTCCCTACTGTGCATCTGATAACACGTCTCCATCATTTCCCTTCAGTTGTGCACCGTGATTGTAATCCATAGGAGAACCAGGTTGTAATATTTTCATGTCACTGCAATGTATTTAATAATTTGGAGGGAGGAAATAATGTAAAATTTCAAAATGCTTTCGGACCATATTTCAGCCCCAGCTTCTGAGAAATTTAATGTGTGAAGCTGGAGAAGGAAGGGAAAAAAAGAGACTGGGGATATTTTTTGTCTTAATATAGCAATAATTTCCTTTAAATTGTCAGTACTATATAGCTTTAGTGCTAGAAGGAAATTATTGTATGACCTGACATTAATGGAGAATCCGTGAATCAGGGCAATAGTCATGAATGCCAAAGGGTAATAGTAGATTCCTCATTGATTTGTTGCATTTCTCTAATTGAAAAAAACAAAGCAAACAAACAAAACCAACACAAAAATGAGAAAAGGGGGGGAGGGGAGGTACACTCTAAAGATATGTATGGTTTTATTGACATCAGATTATAAAATCACTGATTACATGCATTTGTTGAAAAAAGTGCTTGCATCATAAAGAGAGAGGAATGAAATGGGTTAATAATATTTTCTACCATTCTCTTTCTGCATTTTGCAGCAGCACACAGAGGCTGCACTGACCCAGTAACTGATAGCACTGTTCTGCTGAACAGGAAGAACTCATCCATTTGCAGGAACAGGTGAAAAAGGGGGCAATTTCTATGGATGAAGCCCTTGACAGATTTAAACAGTGGCAGAATGAAAAACAGAGACTGCAGTTTACTCAACAGGTACAAGTCTGAAATTTATGTTTCCTGACAGGAATCTTGATCAGAAGTTCCAAAACCAAACTCTTGTATTTTAGCTCCTACACATGAGGTCAAAAATCTGACCTCACGTGTAAGAGCCATGTGAGTCATGATTCATATGCCCATCAGCTCCCAGAGAACTTGCTACTTATGGTTCTGAATCTTCTAGATACTCTTTTCAACTGTTGTTTGATTACTTGAGAGGCTTCCTGAATTTATTTTGCCTGACTTCAGGTGCTTTTTGCATTTGGTTAAAAACCTGAGTTAGATACGTTGGTCTTCTAAGACTTTTGTTTTAAACTGCTAGGTGATGCTTTGGTCTATGTATCTTTTATGAAACCGCAAACCTTCTGCAGCTGAACAAACCGTCCATGCTATTGAACAGCATCAGCTAACAGAAACATAACTGTATCAAGCATACATTGTTAATACATACTGACTTACATCAGCCTTTACGCCTCACTGGAAGTGTTGAATCTGCTTAGTGTAATTCACAATTGTTGGCAGTGCTTTTCAGCTCCTTTATGTTCAATGTATGGAGTGAATTGAGGTGCACAAAAAAACAGGCTTTACAAAAGCCCACACACTGAGTCACTGAAGGAACTGCATCAAAGCTAGAAGCTGAGGAGAAAGGCACGGTGAGGATGTTTGTTAATTACTTCTAACAAGACAGCTAGAGGAAGAGGTTATGCCCTCATTTTATATGGGGGTGTGCATTAACAAAAATATTTTCTTGTTGTCCTTTAAGTGCATTTAGTAGAAAGTGGAAAACCAAAGCCTGTCTGTTACTCTACAGAGTGGGAGAGCTGTCAGGGCTGCCAACAAGGAGCGTTTAAATGCTCATTGTGTTTCCATTTACTGCAGAAACAACAAGAGCTTTGTCACCACAGTGGAATACTTAGCGGTGTTACTTAACAGCCCCAGCTTTTGGGCAGCAGTACAGGAGGGTGGTGGATGCCCCCTTCTGAACCTGTCTGTGGCCAAGCACGCAGATGGGAATTGCTGTTACTGCTCTAGCAGTCAGGGAAGTTACTTGTGGAGGAAGGTGGCATCTGATCTGTGCAAAGATAGCAGCACAAAGTCATAAGTCTTTTTTTTTTCTTGGTTAACTAGAAGATGCCCGTATTTCAAGGAAGATTTACTTGGCCTGTTTTCACTGCTTCAGGGAAAAAGCTACTTTCTAGTGGTGCAATACCTTGCATTGCACGTGTGACTTTTCTTTGGGTTTTTTACCATTGAAAAGTCCTTCACTGTTACTCCAACATGGACATCATGAATTTACTTCATGATATCACTACAGTTGTCTGGTCTTCACTGAGATTTTTGAAGATAAATTACTTGTCTAAAGCAAAAAAATAAACTCCCAAACCTATGTAATCTAATGCCAGAATTGATATAATTTACAGATACTCCACAAGACTCGTAGGTATAAATGCTAAGATCAGAATCTACTTATAGTGTATCGTAGACATTTTTCAGTCTTTTAAACTTATTTTCCTAGAGAGAAAAGCTTGGTGTTCAGAATGCTGAAGAATCCAGCTTTTTATAATTATTAATTTTTTCTACAGTAAACTTTAATTACTGATTGCTGATGCTTTTGTGCCTGTTGTTTTGTTTTGTTTTTTTTTAATTTAAAGGAAAAAGTGCACCACCTTAGAGACGCCACTATGGAAAACAGACTAGAAAAGGAAAATCTGAACAGTAAGTCTCACTTTCTTTGTGTTTGAGAACACTGAAGCCTTGCGCTGTCAGTATACTGCAAAAGTCTGATCCAAACCATAAGCAGACTTTTGGATCGGGCATAGAATTTGTAATGAGCATTTTCTGTATCTTACCACATTTAAGTTATTGTAGTTTAATCAGGCCTGCGGCAGGGTCAAGATTTCATCCCAGAGATGAGCTCACTGAGAATTAATGGGACAGAAAATTTACCAAGTCTCAGCTTTTCTGTACTCCATTTCCTACTGCTTCATCACAATTAGGGTACCTTATTTCTTTAGAACAATTTACTTGATGACTTCAATATCATATTTGTAAATCAGCTATCAGCTTGCACTTGCAAATTCTTGATGAGCTTTCCACTGCTACAGCAGTTTAGTATTGGGAGCCATTAATAAAAGCTGTACTGTTGGTCAGTTAAGATGCTTTTTTCCCTTTGTGATTGAATGTCGTTCACAGCAGTATAAAACACCTGTATTTTCTCCAAATTATTTTCTCTTGTTTTTATGAAGAGATTGTATTAGATGGTATTGACTTTAGGCCTATGATTTCTGTAAACTTCAGTACATACTTTGAAGGGAAATCTAGTGGGATTTTTTTTCATATTGGACTTAGTACTATTGGAATGTTACTATTTCAAATTATTGCCTAAATGTGTTATTTCCTTACTGCAAGAGAGAAAAATAATGTGCAGTACTGCTTTCATTATTTTGTTGGACAGTGTTGTATTTATGTAGACTTAATAGTTGAGATGCTGTAATTAAGGGAAATTCTTGCTGGCCTAGTGGCACTTGCAGCCCAGACTCTGTATTTCAGCTTTAATATCCTCCGTGGTTGGTAGGGATGCAGCATCCTGAGCACATGAACAGGCTCAGTCCCTAAGACTTCACAAGGTGCTCAGAGCCTGACGGTCTGGCATCTCTGCATTTGTTCCTACAATCCATTTTCTCTAGGTAAGGCAAGGCTCACAATGACATGAGGGTGATTCTTGGAAAGTATTTGGCTGTAGGGTTTTCTTTTAAGGCCATATGAGTCCTGCTGCTGTAGCTGTCCTCTCTCTCTCTCCAAAGTTTGGTTAGTGAATCATACCAGCAGAAATGTAGTATCAACAGCAAAATTGTAAACTTTGTGAAACAGTAAGGCTTGCATTATCCAGTAACTCAGATAATGATCACTGTGTTCCCTTCTGAGCATAACCTCTCTGCCCTCTGTTACACTGTCTTATATCCTGTGATGCATATAAACCAGCAGCTTTGCACTGCAGGAATACAATGGGAAGAATCATTATGGAGGCCCCTGTCTTGTCCAACAGTGCACGTTATTATCAAAGATTTAAATTCTTGAAAATATGAACTTCTAAAAGATGGAAACCCCTATACAGCTGGAAGTATATTGATGGCAAGAGCAAAGAAGGATCTCAGAAGACCAGTACCTAAGTCCAGACATAAGTATGTTGCCTGAAACAAAAATGCCAATCATGTTCTTTTCTCTTTTGTAGTTCCTAAGGAAAGAAGACCAGAGAGCATTCATTTGAGAGACTTTTTGTTCCACATGCCATTTAATAAAGCGGTACGTATGAACGTTGTTGTTCTCAGTTTTGTTTGATAAATTCTAGTTTTTACATCTGTATACAGCCTCTCCAGCTGTGCCTTTAAAAACATGGGCCTCTCTCTCCAAATTCTACATTTGAAATCAGGATTTGGGTATTTTTTTCATAGACAGTTTTTGAAGACTTGATTGAGGATTTAAAGAGATCACATCAGAAGCCTTTTAGAAAAGGAATTTGATTTTATTTTAATGAGAAAAGAAAATATCTGCTATAAATTAGTATGGAACATTATTTTTAGTTTCTTGATCAGTTTGATCTTGCTTCCCATGTAATGAAAGTTATTAATGAGAGTGGCACTCAGTTCAGTCTTCCATTATAACATTTGATGCTATCTCAAAGTTCATGTTTCATTTTGCAACGGTTATTAAAAACTGTTGGACTGAATAACATCCCCCAAAAAGTCAACTGCAAAGCAAAAAGTTCTGTCATTCTTGGAGTGAAATATCTACAAAAACTTATTTTAAGAGCAACTAAATAAGGACTAAGCATATAGAATGTTCATTTGCAGAAAGGACAGGCACAGACAATGATTTTTCTCATTACTATATGGTATTGCCCACAGGCATTGGTAATATATTTTTTTCCCAAGAAAGATAGAAAGCTATTAGCCAAAAGAACAACAAAAAAAATACCTTTAAGAAAATTTCATGGAAATGCATTAATTATCTGGGGACAAAAAGCTCAATTTTCAAATGTGAGTGGCCTAGATATTTTAAGATTTTTAAGGTTTTCCTTTCTGACATTCCTGAAACCATCAGTGTACTGAACTAGAAGTAGCCTATTGCCTACGGGAAATTGTAAGCTAGGCTCGTACACTATTTAGAAAGTCACATTGCCAATACTACAGAGTAGGAGAAAAGGAAGAATGGAGAGAACAACAGAACTGAAACAGGCAAACTGATGAGTTACATCTTGACATTTGAAGTCCTCATCCATAGGCCTCCTCTGGGACACATATTACCAAATTGGGACAGTGAGAATGCGCCCCCAGTGTGGTAGCTGCATGCTATGCCCTCAGTGGATGCATGCTGCTGCTTTGGGGTCCCACAAGGCAGGAGCATACAAATATGGTTAGAGCCCAGCTTACTCTGTGGTAACTGATTCCTTGTTGCCTATAACATTAAGCGTAAGATAAGGCTTGAGAGTCTTGGGTTTGTGCATATCCAGTAGCAGAATGAATGCAGCGGAACAGTTATGTAAGGATGACTAGACAGGTTTCCTTTAAAGTCTTAAAAGACAGTTCACCTTTCACATGCGTTGCATGTTCATACTCTGTAGCACATAGGAATTTTTAAAAAAAACCTATGTGATGCCTATCTACATCATTGGACATTTGCATTACCTATGTGAATCTCATTTAGCTGTTTCTGAAAAGGAGATTTCAAAATCTGCCTTCTATCACAGTTACATTATGGCACCTTATGTGCCACATCCCACAGATTTAGTCATCCAGCATCTAAAAATAAGTGCAAGATTGCAGAAACTACATAAGATGGTTTGCATTGCTTGTAGTTAGTTATCCCCTCATAGCTAATTTCTGCAGAACCTTGAACTTGGTCTTTAGGGATACAGCTAGTGTAGCGTAAGATTTCTCATCAAAACCGGGAGTGACTGATACTCTGTTCTCCACTCTTGGTATAGCAGCAAGAACTGAGCAGGTGTCACTGCTAGGCAATGAGCAAGATACGAGGCTGCAGAAGACAAACTGTAACTCATATGGACTGCAGAAGACCAATACAGCATGAAGCAAATGTGAAGCTTGACTTTTTGTATTTATTTATTATTTAT